GAGTCCAGATAGGTACTCCAGAAGGAGCGGCAGTCTTGTACACAACCACGCCAGCGGTAGCTGATCGCGATGTGATCAATCTGAGTCCAGGCTTGAGATGCAGAGGGAGGACGCCAGGTGGCACATCGGCGATGACTGTGCCGAAAGTTAGTGCTAGCCAGAAACAGGTTGTGGTCTGTGCAAAGTTGCAGTAGACGGTCCCCGTTATCTGACCTGCGACCAACGAGTCCCCATCGGCCACCTAAACGACTCTCTTCTGTGCCTAGACGCCCGACCTGCGCATTCAAGTTTCCGGCTAGTACTACAATATCTGTCGAGCGCACTTTCTGGAGAAGAACAGACAACTGGTGATAAAACTCATCCTTGATTGCATCCGGGCTGCAATCTGTCGGGGCATAGGCGGAGATGACGAAAAGACATCGTTTCTCACGCCGATTTCTTCTCACTTTGATGGAACTTTCTAATCTAACAGCACATAACCGACTGTTAATGGGGATCCAATCGATTAGTGCTGCCTCAGCTCTAGCGCTTAGTGCGACACCAACGCCAGCAAGACCAGACGAAGATGCCACAGGGTCCCCGGATAAGCGCACGTAAAACAAGCTTTTCGAAGCGACAGATGGAGATCGAATTTGTAGTACTTCGCCAGAGTCTTGAATACGGGTCTCGGATAGACAACAAACATCAATATTGAGACTTTCCAAAGACATAGCCAGCCCTATCTGTTGTCCGACCTGCATTAGTGTGCGAACGTTGAAGGCAGCCAGTTTGAATGGTGCACGTGGTTTCAGAAAAACTGCTTCAGTTCTCGTATTCGGTGGTAACATACAATTTTCAAACGAACAGTGACTCGAGAACGTTTAGATACAGTCGAATTTCCACCAAAGACGAGCCGCTGTATAAGTATAAAAGAGGGTGAATAATGTGGATAATAATAATAATAATAATAATAACAATAATGGTAATAATAATAATAGTATTAATAATGACAATAATAGTAATGATAATTATTTGAATTGATTGATTGTTTATCGGATCGAGAAAGGTAGTTGCCGTAGTCATAGAGTTCATTGTTTGTGTGTGGGCTGTGATACTGCCCGGGTGCCCAAACCGAAGCAGGTGGTTATCTTAGGGGGCCACACCCCGAGCCTTTGACCTAATGGTCTAACCTACAAGGCAGTGGAGCATCGTAAGGAGATGCAATCCCATGGTAGCCGGTGACCAACGATTGGTTCATACGCCATTTGTTCCCGCAGGATACTGGAGCCCGTGTGCACCATTGGTTTGTGATCCGGTTAAAGCGCCGGACGTTCGCTTTTCGTCCTCTCATTTTCGTAAACAACACCTCCGCCACGAGAAGGCAATGAGTAGGACTTCCCTGGCAGAGGCTGTATACGCGCGGCCGTGTGAGAGTATTTCGAGAGGGAGAGCGGACTCTCCCCACTCTCGGCCGTACCAGGGCGTTCGGGGGCAATAAAAAAACAATAGCATATCATAAGTTAATATTATAGAAGTTACATAGGCTATGATTATGAGTAGCGTATATGTTTCAACTAATTTACAAATCGAAGGTCCAAAATTTTCACGAGTTCTTTACTTCCAGAAAAATTCGGATTAAGTGTCTCCTAAGCAATACTTGTTTAGACTGTCCCAGAAATTTTACAGTTTCTGTTTGAGTAAAGGTACGTAGGCATCTTTACAGAGTATCAAACAAGTTTTGTTTAGTACAAGTCAAGTGAAGCATATTGAGCTGTTTGACTTAACTAGAATAATGGAGATAAGGGAGGAAAATGGAACATTGAAAAAGCAAAGTTTTCACCATCTTTATAGGTTGACTGTCCTCATTGCCAAAATACTGGTTTTAAACCATTAACTGAAATAATCGATTTCACCCCTAATTTTATCGACGCCCGATAATTGTTGCAATCCTTGACATAAAGACTGCGTTAAATTCTGTTAATCGAGGGGTTCCGTGTCATTGCTTGTGAAAAAGGTATACTATAATAATATCTAAACTTTCTGAAGGTTCTTTAATAGAAATTCAGTCATCATGTTAGGGCTAATAACTGTCATTGGATTTAACGACCTCTACTTATATTTGTCATTTAACTTTTTATTAACTTTAGAGATAGCGACTCTGTCTGAGTTTGGATTGATTGGTTTCCTGTCAAAAGATCCATACATGGAAGTAGAATACATAACTGATAAAGATTAGGCGCCCGCGACCGAAGGTCTTATGTTCGATTCTTTGTGGTGTTGTGGATTCACACCACTGAAATCCTATACTAGGACAAAACGGCTATTTAGTTTTCCGGGTTTTTAATAGTGGACTAACTTAGGTCGGTTCACGATTTCAATGAAATTCAACAATCTCCACAACCTCATCCTAAAGTGGTCTTTTTGTTGAAAACCCTAACAAAATGCTTAGTCTTCAGGATGCCTCAAGTAACAATTCAACGAGGCACTTTTCTTTAAAAGAAAAGTGTTGTTTCAAACCTACCCTCCGTTAGTCCCTTGACTGATGATAAGAGGGGAAGTAGCGAAGCGCGTTTATCACTTGCATTGGAAATCTCATCACCCTTTATGGGTTATTTGCTAACGAAACCTCTTCATGGAATCAGAAAACCCGGTTAGTTCCTACAAACCTACTATACTTGTGGCGTTGGCGATGTATCCGTGCTCCAACTAGAGGACGCGTGTACTTCTCAGAAACTCGTTCTGTTCTGCCTCATATCTTTGAAAGGTAGGTTACTAGTATTCGACCATAGATGCCGTCGAATTATTGCTCTCGTATGTTGGGGTCACTGAGCGCGAGATTACTGAAGTTTTGTGAAAGTGACAAATCGGTTGGTGCACCTGGAAATCTTCATCGACTAAGGTGTTGAGGACACGTAATACGTAAGTCCAACAACCACCTACCCCAAGGCGCGATGATGATTTGTGTAGAAATATATTGAAAGATGTTTAGGAGCTGCCAAACCGAAATATGGCATCGATTCATGTGGTCATTGACTGTTGGACTGAAATATCTACTTAGGTACAGATTACCTGGTTGGTCGGTAGTTGGATATATAAGATAACGTGATTTGTAAGCGGTCTTGAGCTTCATAGTAATTTATTTTTATTCGTTGTATTCAATCATTTCTTTTCGAACTATATTCTCAATACTTAATCTTCGTCACCATTATTGACATTGCTATTATTTGAACTTCTGGTTTTTACCTTGTTGATTTGATTTTCTCTTATCAAACTCAGTATAGCGACTTCGGTTGGCGCATGTTTGTCTTATATTGTATGTTTATTATGACTGACATGAATATTCTAAACAATGGAATAAGGGTCTTGCTACAGGAAACATTTTAAATTAGATTAGATCAGTGTATCCTTAATTTTGTAAAATAAACTTGTTTGAATTCAATTTATTTATGTGGTTTTCTTAAACCCATATTTTCAATAACACTTTTTGGTCCCTGATTATATGAATTCCAAATAAGCAGATATTAAATGACAATAACTCATACATGTCAGTAATTTTTTCCTTCATATTTATGAACTTAGCTAAATTTCCGTATTACGTTTCCGCTGTAGTTACTCGAAACGTATGATGTTAAACGTTATATGATATTTAGTTTGTTTAACGAAATTGAATGTCATTACTGTGTATCTGTTAGTCCACGATTTTGTGTTATTTCAATAGCTTGGTTATATGACCAGTCTTCATATTAATATGAACAGTTTGTAATACTTCTCCGCCTTTTAGCCTACATTTTAATTCATACAACAGACTAGGATAAGTGCGTTACAAGGATACATACACTAGAGTTTAGTCGTAGGGTTTCACGCTTTTACGAAGTAATACTGGGTATGTGCTACTTATATTGACATAAGTAGTACATGATGTTAGTCAGGAACAGAAGGTCTGGCAGCATAGAAACAAGAGGATCGAACGGTAAAGAATTGAAACAGGATGCAATTTGTATGAAAATGCAAAAACAATAAAGTCAGAGTCATTTTGAGACAATTGGTGGACATTTTGCAAATTAAGCATTTACTTTATGATTGTTAGATTTTATTAGCAAGCCCTGTAATTTTGTGTTAAGTACATTCGATTGTCCGCACTCGTGTTCTGTTCACCACAATACGACCTCACTGAAATATGAGTGTCATGTGTTTGATCATTCTCAGTGTTGAATATTCTATTTTCTGTAGTATGTAATATACTTTCTGCAGAATATTATTTAGTTTTACGACATATATGACTGTGTGACAGCTTATATTACCCTTATTTCAACTCATAAGATAATTTCAAACTTGTTCTTGTCGGAGCAAATATGGCAAGTTAGCTAGAAACATTATTTTATTGTAAGAATTTTTATTGTTCGTTCAGCATCCGATGTCATTTCGAAGTGACCATGTTTAGGAAACGTCAGTGATAGCATTTCTTACGACCATAGTTACGTCATAATACCCGTTCATCATATGCTCAGTCGGACAGCCATCGGATAGTCCTTACTGTTGCACAAAAGCTGAGTAGCTTTTCCAGACTCATCCGTTCAAGCAGACCATAAAAATGGCAAAATACCATTTTGTGTATAGCGAGACGGACACAGTTTGACAGTCATTTCTATTGTGCTTTTTGTTATGCTAGAGGAAAATGGCGGTTTGTACATAATATGATTTGAATGTTATGTTTTTACACTTAAGATTTATCATGACATGGTTAATTCGACATTAAAAGTATAAATTTACAGCAGCACAATCACTGACTACTGAGTCCTACTATACTTTATTGATGTATCTTGGAATTGTCGAAACGCAAAACGAACTTTGGTTTGTCGGATTAGATTTTATTACTAGCAAAAATCAGTAAACATATAGTTATTTTTCATCCACAACTTTTAAAAAGGCCACATATGACCGTTGTATGTAATGGTTAATTGTGTTTAATGGAAGTGTCATAGTTTTAAACCTATCAGTGCTTTTGTTGTTTTTACTTTAAGAAGACCAACACTCCTCCAATCCAAATACTTCAAGATTTTCCCATTCACCAGAAAGTCATCGGAATCATGGGTCACAATATCCCTCATCCATTTCTAGATCACCTTCATTAAGAAATTCTCGTAATGAACAATATCGTCATCATCCTAATCGGTCATCTAACTCAGCTTCTAAATATCATCCTTGTCAGCGTCATTATAAATCCCCAGAAAGGAGTGCCCGAGATTTCACCTCTGGAAAGCACAATAAATCATCTGTTTCATCAAATCAGCCAAAAAGACGTACTCACCATTCTCCAGTACCACCAAATAATCCTAATTCTTCTTTCCGTCGATTTGAACGTGAACGAATAAATCTTCATAACAGACGGTTTCGCGCTTTATCTCCGGTGATAAATAGAAATGCTTATAGAAGAATCGGCATTAATTCAATAAAAGTGTCTGGTCCACGTTTCAACCGTACTCATCACCAAAGAAGATTTTAACCATATATGCAAATTATTGTACAGCTTCAAATCTCACGTCCCTTTTAGAGAAGGAATCGAAGAACAAATATATTAGCTATTTTTCCTTTGGAAGTTATTCTGTCTGTATTTCCTTATTTTTGTTAGCTTCTAATTTTTGGTTGCCTACCATGTCCTCAGTAAAAATAAAAGTTTATATTAAGCGGTGCTGCTACTTCTTTGGTCACATGTTCCTGTATCGGTGCTTATTTTCTATGTATATTTGATCAGTTTTTACTTTTTAATTCGACCGAGGTTACTTTTGCACTCAAACATCTTGATTGTATGTTGTGCTAAACAGTAATATAGAAACGATTCTGAAGATTGAGGAGTATGTGACTATTAGGTCTGATTATTGCCCATCTAATTAGAGGTAAAAATGTTTGACATTCAGGTGTGATATTGCAGAACTAAGTTAAACTTGCTAGCTTGATTATAAAAATGAATGCCTATGTATGAACTAGACCAGTCATTTATGAGTCGAACACGTACGATGAATTAAATTTTTTAATGACTAACAGTTATAATTCCAGCAGTTTAATGCGAATATACCTTTAATTTTTAGACATTATATGTAAATTAAGTGACATTAGACAGTCTTTCTATTATCTCGTGACATAATAGATACATTTACTTCATGTATGCTAACATCTTTGTAATCTCAAGCTGAAATATGTAGCATTATTACAAAAACAGTATTAATGGATATAATCCTTTGGACCTACAAAACATTCCCAGATTTGGCACGTTATAACAATGAGTGGAACGTCCACATTGAATTTTGACATCATCGGTTAGACTGAAAAGATTTAGAGGAATAAAATTTATGTTTCATTTCTAGGTACATGCATGTAGTAAGCTATACACTTGGTATTTCTTGATTATTTGTTTCATTTAAACTTGATGTAAAATTCTAGAGGCATATCAACTAAGTTTACACTTGAACTCTAAAATGTACCCGAGTACGAAGAAAATATTTGTACAAATATCGACCCTCATTTGCTAAATATCGTTTCTGGATTTATTTTCATCACCAATATGTGTAAGCATGTGAGAATCTCATGTATCATGATAAACTAGTAATTAATCCATGCAACTTTCAACCGTTGGGTTGCAAATTCGAACCACGCTAAAACTAGTTGTTTGAGTAGCGACGTAATGCTATTAACCTTCAGAGTGCAGTCGAAAGATGGACATGTAAATTGATAGTTGGTAGAAAAGTTTTGCTTGGTTTTTAATTAGTTTCCGTTTTAATGCCCCAAATTTCGTTACGTTAATAGGTTGTAGTTCTTACGTTCCACACAAAGTTGTTAAATCATTATCCAAAAAGGATAGAATAGACGCACGGAATCAGTTTACTAGACTCCAGCAAATGACACCGGTTTATGCACATAAATCTATTTCTCTACACTATACCATCTGACTTCCCCTAGCGGGTTGTGAAGTAGCGAATCTTCCCCCAGTCTTGGCATTAAACTTGAAATCTGTCTTTTTGTCCTGATAATCTGTATCGGAAGAATTCGCTATCATTCATATTCCATCTGTAACTAAACCACATGAGTAGCATTTGAGTGCACTGAAAGTGCGATTGATGGCATTAAAAGTTGAAGTGCATTGAGAAAATAGGTATTATATTACTACCATCATCAATAAGATTATTCAGTTTCCTGGATGTGAGTGCTGTTATGTACTCTGATGAGTCATTCGTCACCAGAGTACATAAAAACATGCAGGAAACCGAATAATATTATTGATGATGGTAGCAATATAATACCTATTTTCTCAGTGCACTTCAACTTTTAATGCCATCAATCGCACTTTCAGTGCACTCAAATGCTACTCATGTGGTTTAGTTACAAATGGAATATGAATAATAATGAATTCTTGGGCTGTAAGCTATCAGAAAGAAAACCATATTTACTTAGCTTCATTATTCATAAGTTGTTGGTAATGTTAAATAATCAGGCCAGTAATGCTGTGCTAATCAAAAATTTTTTATAAGAAACCTTACACATCTTTTTAAAACAAGATGTTTGTACTTGTTTCGGTGCATGGACCTCTTCGAATGTTTTGCTGTTAACTCGTACAGTTTGCCTTCTGATTTTTATTTGGCCCAAGTGATTGGTAACTGTTTGGAATAATGAGTATCTATGAAATGGATAAAGGTTTACTGACACTTTCTTTTCATGATATCTTCATCAATATAATTTGTCACTACATTTACACCAGGTTGATATCTGACGTCTTGAAAGCTACAATCTTATCTATAAAAACCAATATGTTGGGTGAACTATTAGTTTACGTAAACCAGTTGGCTACGGTTATGATCCAAACAAATTTTGGTTGATTGAAAAAACTGGGTTCTCTTGGTGGTGGTAGTCAGACATTAATCCGTTTATCTGATATGATTCGAAGATACTGAAGTCATTTATAATCTATGGTCTGGTATCTAAACAAAGCAGTTAGTTTTCATTGAAATGTAAAGCAAAGATGAACTTTTCAACTGTCTGTTTGAAATAGACGTCAACTTATCTCACTGAATAATTCCCACCATTCTAGGAGGAAGGAATCCCGAGGCAAATACATCGGCGATTTTAATACTGTATTCTCAGATACTTGTGAATGTTTATTCATATCATTCCAATGGAGCATTTCTTGTACGGATTAAATTTTGTTTTCATGCGCATCAATGGTATCATTCTGAAAATAGTTCTAAAGACCAGGTCCAATCTCGTTGTAGACTTGAAACATCTACACAGTATCACTCAACTTGTATATATTGCTGAGCCTTCTAAATGGTTTCGATTGATTGGAATGTTCATCAAGCATTCTTCACCGTACAACAACTACCTTGTGGTCCTTCAGAGTTTATCTCAAAAACCACATGTCCTAAACTCGGGAAGTGAAGTGATTTAAAAGTGCACTTCCCTTCAGGCATGTGAATAGTGAGAATGGTGCAAGTACATATACGTCAAGCCCACTTAATTTTTTCCATTGGGTATTATTTGTAACAGTGAGAACAAACTAATCTATCTGTTCAGATCCTCATGTTCCCATAGTAGGTATTCCTGACTCCATTTATTGTCTGGACATGTGGTAAGACGCATAAGTTGGATGTCATGCTACAATGAATGTGTATACACAAACTTATAAACCCCGACCTTTCTTGTCACTCAAAATTCTACTTGTTTCCTTTGAATACCCATACGATCGAATTGGTAGTATGGGGATCCACTGAATCTCTGCAGATTTTTGCAGAACCTTATTGTATACAACTTTTAACCAACAGCCAGATGATGTAACTTTCCCTAAACTTATCAGTATACATGAAGTGTTTCTTATTTGGCAAACAAATATATATATATATATATATATATATATATATATATATATATATATATATATATATATATATATATATATATATATATATATATATAGAACAGCATACCCAAAATACTACATTATTATACTTCTACTTAACCATCTAGGCAAGTGCTATAAACGAGTCGTTTGTTGTTAGTGTCAGGCTGCAGATGGGAGTTAAACTTTAACCTGAAGGATAAATATGCCCGTCTTGCCTTAAATGTCTCTAAACCTTTCAAATGTCCTCCTCAGTAATATAAATGTTTTGTAACTAAACGGCCAACCCATGTCCGTTTAATTATCAACACACCCAACTCCAATATCAGTCCTAAAGTTAAACTGTCATCTGGACTTGTCTCCACATCAACCAAGTGCTTCAAATATCAAAAACCTGTGACTCGATTTTGTGCGTGTTCGTCATTTAACTGCTTATTCAGTTCCAATAGTCGAATTGCTTAAAATTACATCAAGCTAAGGAACTAAATTTTCTCAACCCACAGTAAATTTGAATACATTTCTACAACAGTTCGTGCATAACTACACTCAACGGAGATAACCCAATGTTTAGGTAGAGGGTGATTGGGCATACATATTATATATCCTAACTACCTCAGTTGGTGAAGATTCACTACTTCATCAAGTGACATTTTATCCTTGCTTAGCACCTTGCGATTACCATCAACATTGTCTACTCGGTGCTCCTAAAATATACGAACAATGCTTCAAAGTCATCTTATGGACATAACTGTATACTCGTTTTTTGGTTGGTAGACGGATATTTAGCCTTCACCACAAGCGACGCATGTTGACGAAACTAAAACAGCAGCAAAAGGTCAAGGAAGACCAATCGACTTTTGAAGGTTCCGCTAGTATATGCTTAGAAACTTATCAGTGGGTCCATTACCAATGAGGGAGCAAAGAAGATTGAAATATAAACGAACAAAGACTACGCGGTAATCGAGGGGTGGTGGGTAACAAAAACAAAATAATGGGAACAGTAGTGGTGATGGGTAACATGAAGGAATTGTTCAGGAACATAAAGGATAAAAAGTCAGTTTTTAGCGAAATTATCTCTCGGAGAGATGGACTACTTTCGAATCGAGCAACCAGAATTATGAGCGAAAAAACACTGCAACAGTTTTACTGCTAACAAGATACAGTCTAACTACCCAGTACTCACTAACAGCCTGAACAGTAGAGCATTATCGATCTCACACAAATCGAGAAGACAACGACTCGAAGTGAAATATAACAGATTGACTGACAAGTTAGAGAATGGGAACCGGGATATAATTTTTCCCAACGGATTGTAACCAACGATCATGCCGACTTATAAACAAGGGTGAAAACTCTAGTGTGACAACCACAGAGCAGTCCATAAGACTGATAATGAACCTAAAACAATATCATTTACTATCATCCAACACTTAGCTATTTGAGGTTTGTAAACTTAAAAAAGGTTACTCCTAGACCTAGCACTGACTAAATATTTATCATTTAAGGTTTTAGGACATCGATAATTTTACTGATGCTCAGCTAGTAAGATTCTTAACGTTGAAGAAATATAATTGGATAAGATACAGTGTCTGGTTGACGATTACTAAATATAGGTCCAAATAAAACAACAGTACAGATGGTTTTTAGAAAATCTAAGTTTCGTATGTAGCAACACACTCAATGTAAATATACATTACGACTGTACTTAAAACAATTAAAACTTAAGAATGATGACTAAAAGGTATCAACAATGAATAATGTTTATGAACTGTGCAGTTGCACAATTTTATTCAAATTACGACTATAGTACAATGTACAAATCTGCTTTGGGAAAATACAATCTGAATGATACAAAATAAGTAAGTTAAGTGTCTTATTTACGTCAGATAAGTTAAAACAAGAAACCTTGACAACTTCATTGTTGGAAGTTTTCTCACAACAGTCGGTTATTAATTTATTAACAGACCATGCACTGATAGTTAAATTTCTTTGTTCAGCACATGATGCGACGAATCTTAGCAAACACTGACTATACGGTCTGTTTTGTGGAGTAAATAAGCTCCAAGCTAATTCTGATCCATACACATCTTGCTGATCGACATGAATAGGAATTAATCGTATAACAGATCCACGAGGTTTACCATTTATTGAAACAACACCCATAGTAAAGTAATATGTGCATGAATTTAATAAACAGCTTTTAACAACAACGGAAAACACCAAAAAATTAGGCCGTTCACCTGCAACAACTAAAAGTTTAGAACATGGTTTCACTGGAGCATTTAAGTAGATGTTCTGTACCAATTTACTGAACGTAAACCGTTCTGACACGTATTCACCCACAATGTGTTTCCCACTGTCGTTTGTGCGCATGAGACAACCAACAAGTTCGGTTGATGATGGATTGAAATGAATGCCTAGAATACAAACCGACTGTGATAATGATGTCGGTTTTTCTGAACAATGACTTAATGCAGTAAACCAAGAATTAAAATTCGGCTTAGGTGCATCCATTGCGTCACAGCGACACAATAAAGGAACTAAACATAATTTCCCATCATATGATAACTGATGAATGGTGTATGAAAGCATATCAGGAACATACAACACAAACATTAGATCACTTTTACGATTGACATAAAATTCGTACACAATGCCCGAAGAACACGTACGATCTATATTGAAATTTGTATTTATCACTGGGACTGTTCGTACATCCGTAAGGCATAGATGAGTTAAATGATTATCCACTGTAAAGCTGATAACAATTGGGATAGAAAACATGAATAATGATAGCAATAGGACTGGTAAGCTTTTTTGTGAGTGTCTTTCAGCCAATAAGACGCCTATATGAACAGTTTCTTTAGCGGAGCTACCTGGAGGTATAATAATTTCCAACAGTGTCACTTCGGAGACAAACAACTTTCTTTCCCACAATAGCCGTGATTCATAGTTACAAAGTGATATACTATACAAAGTGAGCATATGATTAGAGTCGTACAAGGTAATTAACAGAGAATCCGATAAAAGAATACAGGATCCTAAAACACATAGAGTTATGTGTCTGCAACACTCTTCACTGGTAGGTTGAATAAGTACACCTTGCACTGGTGATTCACTTGATTCGCATAGTTTCACATTAGTAATTTCTACTGTGATAAAGTTAAATATTTAAATATTTACCAGAACCTTCCGGAATTATTTCAGATGTTTCCTCTGCTACAGGCAACAAAATACTCGGCTGGGTGATTAAAGTAGACTTTAATTTCTTCTCAGCTTTCTGTAAAAAAATTTACCAATCAAAGACTCGTAAATACCTGAAGAAGCAAACGTTTCTTTTCAAGCTCTTGCTGCAAAACATGAACACGTTCCTTAAGATTCTCACATCGATTCATCAAATCAGCCAATAAATAAATCAAATGCAGTCTGCACTTTTACGAATGTAATCTGGTTCAGTATGGAAAACTTATTAAGACAATGTGATTTGTTAATTATTAGAAATGGTAATGCAATTCAATCAGACCTAACTTATGCTGCACAAACTGCCTATATCTTAATTCAATGTTATGGTTTGGAACTTTGCTTTATTTAAATCCCAAATCTGAGACAGTTTTATTGAAAACTTCGAGAGAAATGCGACACAACACATAAGAAATACCCAAGTCTGTCCATATAGATAGTGTGTATAGCTTCAGTTGGTCCTGGAGTATGGCACTGACTTGAAGAGACTGGACGTAATCAGTATTGCAAATAAACACTAAGCAGCAACAGAATTCTTATATTTAAATTACTAAAGAAGCTTCAACCCTTGATCTAGGCCAAGGGTTGAATTATACTTTACTCAAATTGAACAGAATTGTCTATACAACTCACTAACAGATTAGTCAAAAACTATGGACAGAAGCCAGTCTTTGGTTTGCTCGCATCTAAATTTCCAGGCAAAAGGATAGTATAAAGGTGAGTAGAAAACAAAATGATATAAATTCCCAGCTACTTTCTGGTTAATCAGACACAGTTAACGGTTAGTTTAAGAATAGAATTACAACGATATTACTATAGTAACAACGTTTATAAATGTAGACAGATTTCGTATTACAAATAAGGTTATTAATAGCTTCTGAAAACCTCTTTGACTGTAAACTGAAAGGCAACGACATGAATTCACCAAAACATTAGAATGATGAAGTCTCAAAACTCACCGTCTCATGGCAACGCCTCAGGGGTAACGTTCACTGATGGAGGTTGCGAGCACTTGAAGGTCAAACTATCGCAAGATGATTGGTGCGTCATATCGACAATTCGTGTAAATTTTCAGAAGTGGTCAAATCAAATCATTTTTAGATTTGAATTGACTTCAGCCACACCATGTCTGATATCGTTCATTCTTCAAGTAACGAAGACGATGCCATCGTGATGATGCATGATATAGGGTGAATATTCAACGATATTATGTTATCTCGAAGATTTACAAGTTGAAACAATTTTGAGACCTGTTTGAAAGAAGTACATAAGGTAAAATGACTTCTGTGGTTAATAATTAATTTTTTGTATACGCATACTAAGTACGTTATGTCAGTATGCAAAAAGAACAGTGATGATCCAACTCTAAGGCACTTTCTCAAATGGTTCAAAATGGTTCAAATGGTTGTTGACGGAATAGAAGAAGCTTTCGCTTAACAGGCTTCCGTGTCTAGTAGCAGGGGTCACCAAATCCTCCAGGCAGGAACCTAGGTATGTTAACAATAAAAGAGGAAAAGAAATTGGTATGATACTGTCCTTGGTCCTTAAGAATAGGTCAAGTTGCCTCTTGAAGGACTCCTGAGAAGTCGCTTGGACTAGCTCGGCCGGCAGCGAATTCCAGCTTTTGACAACCCTTTAGGAGTAGAAGTTGTGTCTACATCCCGTCTTGCTATGTTGAGTTTCCAGTTTCTGGGTGTTACCCCTTAGGTTAGTATTCGAACTAAGCTTGAATAGGTGTTTAAGAGGATGTCCAGAAGTGTTAAGAATACTATAAGCCATTAATAAATCACCTCTAAGACGCTTAAATTTGAGTCCGCGAACTGATTTCGTGGCTCGCCGTTGGATACACTCCAAGGTGACCTTGTCCTTTTGGAGTGAGGGGGGAGTACTATATTTCCGTACTCTAAATGGGGACGGATAAAACTATTGAAGATTGTATGGAAAGTTCTTCCGTCAAACTGGCCAAAAATGCGCTTCAATGTTACCAGTGCAAGGTTTGCTCGGAAGGCATTTTTGTCACAATTAGCGTAAGACTTTAAATCATGGGGCACCAGGACTCCTAAATCTTTTCCGACTTGGGATACTACTAGAGAGGAATTTCTTAAGTTATAACTGTAGTCTGCGACATGTCGCAGATGGACTACTTTACACTTTGAAATGTTAAAGGTAAGTCCGTTATCATCTGCCCAACTTTGAAGTCGAGTCAGATCCTCCTGAAGTGCCTGTGTATCGTCTTGGTTGCGTGTAGCGTGGCGTCGAGTCGGGATTGACTATGTACACCGCTACCAAAAAGCTCGTTCCAAATGACTCCATAAAAACCCCGAGAAGCCAAATATCAGAAGGCAGAAAATGGACCAAGTTCGGATTTATTCACTGGCGATCTCGTGGTATCGAAAGGATACCGAGATCGTGCAAGGATACAAGCTTGGTTACAGAAGGTAACCGAATTCGCGCGAAATTGCAATCGAAGTGTAAGAACAAGAATGGAAGCCCAATATAGCTGTCATTAGCACAGTCAAACAAAAGCACATTAAAATAAACACTGGTACAACTGTTTATAATAATAATTGTTTTTATTGAACCAGTCGTGTTCTCGTAATAAACGTGAGTCACTACATGCGTATCTCTCTCCAAATTTTCACGTCATCGGCAAAAAGTAATAAGTCTGACGTTACCTGCTGAGGAAGATCGTTTATGTAAATCAAGAAGAGGAGAGGCCCTAATACTGAGCCCTGGGGAACCCCACTAGGACATTCCATAGCCTGAGATAAAGTGAAATTAACCCTAACCTTAAAGTGTCGATTTTCTAGGTATGAAGTAAGCCAATCGATTAGAGGTGGTTTGATACCTAGTCGTTTGAGCTTATTGATAAGACACAAGTGGTTAACTTTATCAAAAGCTTTTGAGAAATCAAGGTATATGATATCAACCTTTCCCTTGCGATCGAGGATGCTTGTCCATCTGTCCACCGCAGTCAGCAGGTTGGTTATACAAGAGTAACCCTTCCTGAAACCATGCTATTGGGGTGAGAAGAAGTTTAAGGACAGTAGATAATCGTTTAAACCATCGCATATCAGAGACTCCATGAGTTTTGAAGGTGATGACAGAAGAGCCACCGGCCGATAAGTTGAAGGTTCATTGCGTCGACCCCCTTTGAAAATTGGTGTGATGTGAGCCAACTTCCAATTTTCCGGTAGTTTGCCTTGGCTTAGCGAGTGTGAAAACATCACGCTAAGCGGCGTTACCAGGATTAAGGCTGCCTCCCTCAGTATGGCAGAATGAACCATATCCGGGCCAGGAGAAGTATCTAGTCTTAAGTGCTGCAGTTTCCGGAACACCAAGTCAGCGCTTAGGTCCACTTCGGAAAGCCCTGTGGAATTACAGGTGAAACTGTCGTCAATAGAGTTGATGTCAGCCGGCTGAAATGTTTGAGAGTAATGTGCCGCCAGAAGGTTAGCGGCGTCACCATCGTTGTTGGTTGGGCCGTTAAGACCTAGCAGTTGAGAAACTTCCGGGGTGATCTTATCCGCAACGCAACCATGTAAACTTAATGTACCGGTCATCTGTGCGTTCAAGTAACCACAGATTTTGTCATTTCATAATGTATTTTTAATTAAATAACTAGATTATATAGCTAATTTTGATCTTTTTTTATATTTTTATTCGCCACGTTCGACTGCGTTACACTGCACGTCCATTGCATGCTGGGATGATATCTCAAGTCATAGTGAGTTTATTCACATAGTTGACTGTTTCCAGATAGACTGTCAGTGCATGATTTTACTGTAGAAAGGTTTATTGTATTATAAACTATGTTTTTATGAACAACTGCCTGTTGTTTTCAGTCGGAAAGCAATATATATATTCTTTGTCTTCCGTTCGGTAAGTTCAATTGGACTATATTTCGTGTTTTTGTTTTATCGTCTTAATTATGTCCATTTAACTACTTTAAGCAATATGCCTGTGCAAATGAGACAATAACTATGACACTTGCTTAGTTTAGTATTCTTGGTTGTCGTATAATTCAGTTTAGTTGAAAGAATTATGGTATACTTAAGTATAGTGCTTGAAGTCTGTAACGAAACAGATCAGTCTAGTAAGTAGAGTTGCCTGTTTCTGATGAGTATACTGATTCAAATCAGTCTGATTAAAAATAGGAAAAAAGTGATTTTGGTACTGTTGCTGTCATACATTATAAGATAGCGATAAGTTTGTTTAGTGTTTATTTCTAGATTGTACATCTATCACTGACCATATTTCATGATCACTGTCATTAAACAATTTCCCCAGCAATAACATCGGCAGCAGGATAGCTAAGTGTGTGAGCTTTTATTTGCCCGCAGAAGAGCAGTATACAGTCTTAGAAGATGGCTGCTCTGTATCTCAATTAAATGCAGTTGGCTGTGGACAAATGTTAAGAATCTTTTTGACAACTGGGACTTTTAGTTCATCAAACACTAACTCTGCTTGTTTTTCTCCCTGTTAAACTAGATGCAGATACATGGTAATACTTAAATGAGAGCAAAATAATAAAAGCATTGAGATACGGTATTAAGTCCATGTTATGCTTTGCACAATAAATAGCTGACCTGACCTAATATTCATGAACTAAAGGTAAATCACAACTGCATAAATTCTTTGCTAAAAAACATGTAATTTAGTTATTTATCTGTTCCACATTTCTGACTAAATTCATTACTGTTTTCTCATTTAGAATGCAACAGGACTGAGTCTTCACAGATCTTAAGAACTGTTTCGCCCTTAGAACTATGGCCCTATAGAACTGTTTACGGGAGACCCAACTAACAGCAGATTATAAAAAAGATGTTGGATGTCCATTTTAATCTCACAACCACTTCCAGTACCTTTTGAGTTACTTCTTTTACCCTTTCGTTTGGAAAAAACAACAAAAACTGCAGCTTAACATTACAAATGCAACTTTAGACTGGAACTTGGTTTAAACCTTTGTTTCATATTCGATTCTTAATGAAAGTTCTCGAATAAATTTTTGAACCTAATGCTACTTTGTTTTATCTACTTAATCGTTGAGAGAAACTTGTGATAATCGAGCCTCTCATCACCTAATTCATGTGTTCAGGCTTCCGTGTCTATTAGCAGGGGATCACCGAAACCTCCAAGCAGGAACCTAGGTATGTTAACAATAAAAGATCCAGTCGCCTCCCAAATGACTCCTGGGAAGTCGCTTGGACTAGTTCGGCGGGCAGCGAATTCCAGCATTCGACAACTCTTAAGGAGTAGAAGTTGTGTCAACATTCCGTCTTGCTATGTTGAGTTTCCAGTTTCTGGGTGTTACCTCTTAGGTAATTATTCGAACTAAGCTTAAGTAGGTGTTTAAGAGGATGTCCAGAAGTGTTAAGGATCCTGTAAGTAAATAGGTCACCTCTAAGACGTCTATACTTTAATGAGTAGAGGTTAAGTGATTGGAGGTGCTCTTCATAAGGTGATTTGGTGCATATCTCCGTCACTTTCTTGGGGAACCTACAGGCTCGGGTCCTCTCACAACTTATTCTAGCCACCATGAGTTGACAGGAAAACTGATGGATGGACACGCGTTACACATCCTAACCGTCCCTGCATCTAATCTCATAGCTCCTTATTCAAATGTCATATGATAAGCAAGTAATGCTTCTACCGACACTAATGGAACACGAGTAATTCAAAAGCACCCTGTATGGTACTTTACATTTGTCTACGCACTCACTTAGCTCTTTAGTGAGAATATTACTACAGTCCTGCTAAAAAACCCATGAACCCCCCTACCACCATCAAAACAATAAGTCTGTATTTGCTGCATATAGCAATTTTATTTTTCAGAAGATATAACAGTAAGAATTGGAGTAAAATAACAATATACAGCAGATGCACGTGGTACATGTCTTCATCGATCAACTGAAATAGAGAATACGGATATTAGCTTA